CGCCATTGTTAGTTAGAGTAGACGGTTACGTCTTCATTAGAAAAATCACTAAATACTATTTTCAACCCATTTCCGGTAATCATATACTAGTGGGAAAGTCAGACATGCCTACAAGGACTTTTCTTCCTTAAGGCTGCCTACACAAGGCATGACGTAACTCGTTTGTTGAAAAAATGGGCTTTAACATTCTTGCTCCGTCCCATCTTGTCACCGCATTGGCCTGCGCTCGTGTTTCTTCCTTAGATTGTGGCTACAAAGTTAGCTGACTGAATGGAACAAAGATCACATTCAGAAGCTATTAATTGCTTAGCGAGACAAGAAATTCACAGCATTTTATAGAATAAGAAGGCTCATTGCCGTGTTCACAAGGGCCCTCCACTGGTCTTTGTCCTGAGCCAGACAAATTGCGTCCATGCGATCTCATTCTGTTTCTGTAAGAACAATTATAATGCCTATGTCTATCAGATTGTCTCTTTTCTTCAGGTTATGCTTATTATTTTTATTTTATTTTTGTTACGTACCGCACTTACTCAAAAACGACATTTTTAGTCTAAATATTTCATTTATATCATGATCAGTTTAGGTGGGTTTGCCAATTTTTCTTTATATTTTTTTTATTATTTCATTTACGGGATAAATATTTCTTTCCTTTAATAGGTTCTACATCTTAATTTGCATTTATTTTCCAGCCATCTCCTTCAAAAGTATCAAAAATTTTATTTCTGCTTTATGAATTTTTCTTGCTTGAAACTGTTCTTTGGTTTGTCTTTCCAGTTTATTACAGCCCCTTCATCCGGAAATTGGTTGTGAACAGGATACGAAAGGAAACCTGCTGTGCCGGCTCCTTCTGCAGAACTGCTCTCAAACCAAAGGTTGACGGAAATAGATCAAATTTCGGAAACTAGTAATTTTAATATGTGGAAGTGCGTCCGTCTACTCACCCGAGAATATCTAGCATATTTTTATGACATTTGAAATTCTGGAATTTTACTAGAGTTCTTGTTGGGGCACACGGTAGTTTAGTTGGTTGAGGCGCTATGCTACAAGCCGGAAGGTCGCGGGTTCGATTCCCGATGAGGTCGTTGCATTTTTTAATTGACCTGATCCTTCCAGCCGCATTATGGCCCTGGATCGACTCAGCCTCTAACAGAAATGAGTACCAGGAATTTTCCTGGCGGTAATAGGCGGCCGGTGCATTAGGTCGACAAACTCACCACCATCTGTGAGCCGATTATCTAGAAAAATGTGGGAGCCTCGATGTTTCACATCCCTATGGGCCTCCACGACCTGTTATAGGGATTCCTTTACCTTCTTTACCTCTCTACATTTCTGGTTGAAACCGTGAAAAATAACGTGCAATTTGCATGAAGATCGTGCTTTTTTTGTGTGCATCTTGAAAGTCGCTTGCCAGATAGTTATAGAAAGGAAAATGTTTCTGGAAGAATTTTTAGAGATAAACAAAATATGTATTTTGCATCCAACACACTCTCTCCATAAGTCATGCAATTTTTAAGGTAATTAAGTAATGCTGAACACATGCGCTAGGGACTTGTTACGTTATGTGTATATTTCAAAGTTTGTTTACATTTTCATGCGTAATCGCTACTAAAATGCTTATCTAAGGTGTGCTATATTATTCTAGGTCCGCAAGTTAATGCATACTATATACGTACATACATGGCCGGTCACGGTAGCCGAGCGGTCTAAGGCATGCACTGTCTCCGCTCGCCTGGAAACCGGGATCGTGGGCATGAATCCCACTCAGGGCATAGATGTTTAGTTTGTGTGTGTGCGTTTTTCTGTGTTTGTGTACAGGTAGAGGCCTTGCGACGAGCTGATCACCTGCCCAAGGAGTCCTACCGAACGTGTAAGATCTAGAAAAACCGAAGTGAACGGAGAAGTTCATGGAGGTGGGCGTAGGCCCACTGGGGCTGTAGTGCTAAAGAGAAAAAAATACCTTAAAAGAGCTTAACTAAGCCTATACCTTTGAATTCTTTGACAGATTTTGCTTAATTTGGTTTACGACTCTCCCATTATACAGATATTATTATGATTACGTTTAAACAAACAAGAAACAAACTCCGTGGCTGTAGTCCGCAAGCGAACTATACCGACCGAGCGACAGTCGCTTGTCGGCGAAGTTAGTGTCAATTTTTGCGGATAGAGGGTGTCGTGTGGTCAGCGCAACGGATCCCCGCTGCCGTTAATCTCGGTTTTCTAGACAAGAGCTGCTATTTCCTTGAAATGGCTCCTCAATTATCCTCACGAGGCTGAGTGGACCCCGTTCCAGACCCACTACTTCTCAGAAAATCTGGTAGCGCCGGGAATCGAACACTGACCTCTGGATCTGTAGCCAGGAACTCTGACCACTAGACCACAGAGGCTATCATGATTACGTTTAACATACCTTACTCCTGTGATAGAGGCTGATGTAAATTTGAAACACGTCATTTCTCTAGAATCCTTCCTATCCGTTCAAAGCTCAACGGAAAAATCTGACATTTCCGAGCTGTAGCTGCAGTCTCCACAGATAACCTCTCCGTTGATGCACCCATATATGTTACAGACCTCAACAGGCATTTTGAAATTGCTGTGTCGCTGAATATGCAAGCTAAGGACATTGTAAAGCTTTAGAAAGACATTCCGAGAGTCAGTGGTGCAGCTACCTAGAAATACTCTTTTCGACGAGTAGAGATTGCAATACCGACTGAAGCATAAGTTCCCTCTACTACCTTTGATTACCGACAGCTTTTGGTCTCATTCATAAATATGACAACTCCATAGAGTAATTCTTCTTCTTCTTCTTCTTCATGGTGGCCCTATGGCCCGCTCTCACTCAAAAGCAGCTTGCGGAATTATGAATTTTAGAGACAATCAGTAGGACTCCCTGGATAGACGATCTGTCCACCCCAAGGCCTGTACGTGTACCTACGCAGGAAAGTACAACACAGAAAAGTCACAGACATACATCCTTGTCCCAAATGGGATCTGAACCAACGATTCCGGTGTTCCAGCGGCTGAAGTCCAGTAGCCACCATAGACCATGTGGACACTGATATGGACCAATTTTTAAGGGCACAAATGAACCGATACGAACATATATGAGCCTTTAGAGAGATTTTCATGTGACTGCTCACGCAGCCATCCGGTTACACGCGTCTGATTCACTGCATTTGCGCAAATCAAAAGCAACGTTTAATGCCACCCCAAAGGGCCGCAACTGCTCGTGCTTGCAGCATTATACATAGACCCAATCTTAGATCATATCTTCTCTTCAGATGGAAACCGGGTTAATGTATCTGCCAGTGGGGTAACTTTTCATGTATGCTGAAACCTAAAGCATTGACGGAAATCATTTAGAAGTATCATCGAAATTTGACACTATATTTTGCTGTGGGCCAAGATATTTTTCAAGCCCATCTGTTCTTCCGCAAGAGAAACACCTGCTTTGGGGGGTGGGAAGGTTACATTAGAAAGATATTGATAGAAACTTGGTTCAGGTCCAATAATTAATATTGGAATTATTTAACTAATAAATTAATTGACCAACTACATTCTCACAATCGTACTGGAGAAGTGTATAATCATTAAGTTAGACAAAGGCCGCGCCATAGCTCAAGCGGTTAGTCGCTGGCTTCCCATCGCGGCGGCCCGGGTTCGATCCCGGGTCTGATCATGTGGGATTTGTGGTGGACAAAGTAGTGCTGGGGCAGGTTTTCTCCGAGTACTTCGGTTTCTCCTGCCAATCTTTATTCCACCCATTGCTCCACAATCGCCCTCACCTATCATCTGGGGCTGGTACAATAGACCAGAAGTGGCCGCCGTACAAGGGACTTAGTCCCACCCCACTAGCAAATAAAGAAAGAGTTAGTCAAAGAATATACCCTTTTCTGGGACCGAACCCCCTATCACTGTGTTCACAGAATTCCATCACGCGACCGTGTCCTGAGGCAAGTCAGTTTAGTCTCCTAAACTCTTTCTTGAAAAGTCGTTTCATGTTTATCCTTCCAACAAAGATCTGTTTGTCAGAACAAGGCCCTTCCCCTTAATTTTTCTGGCCAAAATTTTGTACGCATTTCTCTTGTTCTTATGCTGCATGTTTGCCAATCGCGTCCATCTTGATTTAATCATTCTAATAATATGAAGTGAAAGTGCATATTATGAAGCCCATCAGTATGTAACATTCTCCAGCCCTTCCCTGTTTGATCTCTCCTGAGTTTGGACGATTTCCCAGCACTTTGCCCTTACAGCGAGACACGAGGTTTCTCAGCCATACGAAACAACAGATAAAATTATAATTTCTCATAAGCAAAGACACACATAGATACATATATTAACCTTCGCAAGTAATGCTTTAAGCCTGAATTTCATTCGAATTTATGTTTCACANATAATATTTGAAAATCCAATTTATGTTTCACAGAAAACGCACGGCGCTTCCATTACAAAGACCAGTTAGTTAATAATGTTTAGGAAAGTACTGTTATTTATTCTGCTAAGCATACCAATCCCAGAAATACGTATACTCCGCGAGTAGAGTTCAGAATTTTGGCATGATTTAGTTGATGGTATGAAGTCATCGCCTTGTTTGGGGTCAAATAGGGCGCAGAGAAGTAAACTACTCTAATGCAAATAGTAAATAAGCTATTCTTCAGACTAATTTGTGTTTTGCAAATCAAAGCGAATCTAACTGGAAAGTTTTTGTATTAGTGCTTCGACTCAGTTGTTAATTTCATCATCTGCTGACAAACCATCATATTATGTGTGCTTTACATGGGACATGAACTTTGCTCCCTCCATATGTTGTCCATTCCCCCATGTTTATATAAGAATATTAATAGCTGGGACTTCGTCCCAATAAATCTATGATCGAGTATGAACCTCTGCATATTTCACTACACCCCTTCCTTGCCCCCCTTTCTCCCTCCCCCCACCTATTTCAGATGACTCGACTGACCTGCGGGCTTGCTTTCATGCACGTGATAGTCCTCCAATCCGTATCTTGGACACAAAAAGTCAGTAGGTTGAAGTTGTAGTAGCCCGGACGTGTAGCTCTTGAGGGGCTATGACAACCCAAAGGCTCTCACCGTCCTCCAAAACTCCGAAACCAATTTCTCTGCTGCTAACAAGTGCAAATGGGTTCCTACTTACAGTTGATTTCTCTAGTTTGTGATTGTGAACTGGTGATAGCAAAAACCGTGACATTTTCTCAGGACGTAAGTGTGAACTCTTATCAAATGTGATTGTCAATACAGTGTTGATGAAGAGAAACCATTTGTGATTTCTATGGAAATATCATTACCTTTTCTAAAATATTGTTGCGTTAGAATGTGCTATGACTTTGCACCGCCCAGACACCTAAATAAGTCTCTGGCCTGTGTGACAGCATAAACACTGTAACTCTGGCGTTCACAGAAGGGTAAGATCATACCTTGTATTTCATTTATATTAATTACTCTGTCCGCTTTTCTTTCTGTGTGGAGTCAACAAAATTACCAGGTAAATTAAGCATTGGTATGTCATATTTTATGCCCCATGTCCCCGTTTCTTCGTCTTTTTCACCTTAACTGCAGGTGCCGCCGATTCCGTTGTTGTGCTCCTAATTACATATTTTACGGGTCTTTTTGAGAATAACTCCATGGAACAGAGACCTTGTTGAGAGGCTAACGACACTTAACGAGTTAAGAAATTCTGCGCCTTTATGGGAGCGGGAAGTACATTACCATATTCATAAAAGCATGCTTCTAGGCCTTGTCTTGAATCACTTGATTTCGGTTCATATATTCACACCCTCGTTCATTAAGATCCATTTTAATATTGTCTATTTACTTCAATGTTTGGAAGTGGTGTCTTCCCATCTAGTTTTAAGACTGTCAGTTTGTAAGCCTGTCTTATCACTGCCATCCGCACTACATTCCCCGTCCATCTCAACCACTTCGATTTGGTAACCCAAGTAACGTTTGGTGAAGAGTGTAAGTTACTATGGTTCCCGCTGTGCAGAGTTCCCCCGCAAGTTGAACATATTATTTAAGATCCATATTAACATTTTCCCCACATGAACTCCAGGGTCTGTCTCCTAAATGATCTCTTCAGGTTTTCGGGCCAAAATGTATGCATTTCTCCGCGTGTGGGTTCTGGGCTAAATTGGTTTTATTACGTATCGGCCTGACTTGCCGCTTCTTGTTCATAGCACAGAAGAACGGGGTGCCTGATGGGATTAGAATCCGCGATCCCAGCTTTTGGTTGGTATGTGCCTTACACCACACGACGGCCTTCTTGACTGGTATATTCCTTGTCTACTTCTTAAATAACCCTCATGCGATGGAACCAGAAGCTGCAATACTCAGGCCAGTTTCTGAGTCACTTCAATCCAGTTAACTTATTCGAAACCTATTTCTATAAATCTAGTTGTAATATCTGACACTAAGCGTAGATGGGAGGATGATATTAAAACGAAATCTGAAGAAATGCATTTTGAGGATTCGGAGGGGATTCATCTGGCACAGGACCGAGACCAGTGGAAGACTGTTATGAGTATAGTAATGAATCACTGGATTCAGTAAAAGAGAGAGTCTGGTTAACCAACTGAGCTAACCAGCTAACAGTTTCACAATTGAATAATATTAAAAATAATTAACGGTTTTTGGATCCGTAAGTCTACATTTGCTTTTTGAACGAATAAAGACGTAAAGATAAAAGCACGTTCGGATGTGATATTGTCCAGAACAGTGAACCTGACCGAGGCTAATGAACATGTTGACATCGCGGAGAATATTCTGTTGTGTTTTTATAAGAACATAAGGTGACTGACTTGGATGTCTTATCGCAACATACAATTAACTGGTAGTGTCATGCGTGTATTGAACTGAGCAAGTCTGATTGCTTCGGGGTATTGAAATATCACAAAAATACAGAGTTACTCTATTAATTTACCTTCTACATGAATTTAACATAACCGCATGCAATGATCATAATAATAGTTAACGAACTATTCGTAAAGATGTAGACATGTATTAACAAATAACGTCTTCTTGCCCCGTAGCTTGGAATTAAAATGATCCATGTTTTCGTAACCCAACTTTCACATAACCTTCATGCAGCATATAGGTGTACAGTGTGGCTTTAGACAGCACGTCCGTGAAGAGAATGTTCTATAGTTTGGCCGGACTTGACATGAGCTCTTGCAAGAACCTCACTGTACTACACATCGGTAATGGAAATCCAAACACATGTCTTAATAACGCGCGTGCCTGAGGCAAGGCAACCCGTCATGTGATGCCACTATCGGTGGTACCACAAACTCATTGCAACGGACGCGGGAGAATGTTACATTTCTATTACTTGTACATAGAGGGATAGGGATACAGAACTAAAAATATTCACTCGTTTGCTCGTTGTGAAGAGTGAACAATCAAAACAAACAAGTGGAAATATCTTTCAAATTCTCGGTTAATATTCTTCCGCGCCCGTTTCAATTTTTTTCACCGCGTCAAAGTGTAAATTTTAAAAGCAAATTACATCTTTATACACATTTTAACACATGATATACATATACTAAAATGCACACCATTCTACTGTAACATTGCTCGCGAACTAAAAGGCACAGGAGTGAAAACTAAATGTACCGGTACCTCAGTAGGTTATATGATCAAGTTTCTGTGACCTACATTTTATAGATGTTAAGTGAAGGCAACGTGGTGGGCCAGCCGGTATAATATGTTTCAATTTCAGTTCATACGTTGTTAACCTGAGAGGGTGGTGATGTGGAAGCGGTAGCGTAGTTCTTTGAGGCGCTATGCTACAAGCCGGAAGGTCGCAGGTTCGATTCCCGATGAGATCATTGGATTTAACAATTTACCTAACCCTTCCAGCCGCGCTATGGCTTCTGGGGTCGACTCAGCCTCTAACAGAAATGAGTGTCATGAATATTTCTGGGGGTAAAGTCTGACAACCTCACCGCCATCTGTGATCCAATTGTATGTAAAATTTGGGAGCCTTGACGTCTGAGAGCCCCATGGACCTCCACGGCCCGGTACAGGGATAGTTTTACATTTTACCTTTCCAAACACCGTATTAAAGCTTCTTGGCACTTTAACCACGGACATAGACTCGTGAAACCACAGCACGTATTTAGCTTTTTACAGTCGAAGCTTCATTTTTACCACTATGATCGTAGCGCTGCAGATGGAAAGACTTGGAAGCTAAAATGGCGCGAATTATAAACTTGATCACCTAACATATTCATATGCCTTACAATTAATGAAGAGTGTTACAGTAAAACTGTATACATGCCATATGCACAGTTTATATTTGGGACAGTGCTTCATATGTTTTATTTGTTACGTGACGGCGCACCAGTTGGTACAGAGCAATTATGGCCGCGTGGGTGGATGCAATTTCACTTGTGGAGGAACGGCTGAAGAGCAGAATATTTGTCTCACTGGTGAAGAGAGCCACCATATAGTCGTATATACATCCACGAACTTCATGAAAGAAATATAGTACATATTGTATATAAATACGCAAAGTAAATCAAGAAAATAGACATAAAATTTCTTTGATATGTTGGGTTTTTGGACTTTATCCATCGTCCTGGCTTTTAAGATAACAAAATAAAAACACGACGTTTCGGAAACTGGGTCTGTTTCCGTCCTCAGGTGAAGGAAAACACCTATTCAGTTGGGTCCGTTAGAAAGAGCTAGCCTCAATCACTGGACCAATATTTTTTTCCGAAAAATAGGAAAGGAATGATGTGGTACGTGACACATTTCTTACTATGCAGATACGTGCAAAATCTCGCATGGTGAATCCGTGGATATGGGTCAGTTGCTGCTCTAGTCAAGGCCGTCCAGTTCCTCACGTTCCCTGCCAACCGTGCCATTTCTTCCTTTGCACGCAAGCTTTTCTTCTGCGGTATGTGTTTGAACCGGTCCGGAGAGCATGTCGTCACTGCATGATCAGTGCCGCACGCGCTATCTTCCTCAAGATTCGAAGCATTTGCTAGTATCTTCCAGCATAAAGCTGCCATCCACATAAGTCTCAAAACATTATAGGAGAAAATACGACTTATCGTGCAGAAATCCAGTGCTCGTATTCCGACGGGTACCCTATTACATCTGCGAATTAACAGATTACTTAACCGTTTCATGCAGTTGTTTCAGCTGCGCATTGTCGAATGAGGTGGGAAGAAATCATGGATGAACCTGTGTGTATGGAGACGATCGTTGTCTGTTTGGAAGTACAAATTATTGGGGATCATCAGTGTAGATTTCGACATAACAGATCAACTATGGATTAGATCTTTTGCATTCATCAGATACTGGAGAAAAAATGGGAGTACAGTGGGACAGTACATCAGCTACTCATAGACTTCAAGAAACCCTGTGATTCAATTAGGAGGGAACTATTGTATAATATTCTGATAAGATTTTGGGATACCACTGAAACTAGTTAGGCTGATTAAAATGTGTTTAAACCAAACGTATGGTAAAGTCCATATTGGTAAATATTGGTCTGATAATTTTCCTATCCAGAATTGTCTGAAACAAGGAGATGCTTTATTGCCACTGCTCTTCAACTTTGCTTTAGAATATGTCATTAGGAAGGTCCAGGGAAACCAGGTGGGACGGAATTTAAATGGGACACATCAGCTGTTGGGCTGCGCTGATGATGTGAATCTACTGGGTGATAATGTAGATACCATAAAGAAAAACACAACAACTTTAATCGACGCTAGTAAGAAGGTTTATCTAGAAGTAAACACACAGAAAACTAAGTATATGTGTCTGCCTCGTCACCAAAATGCAGGGCAAAATCATGACATAAAGATAGGAAACAGATGGTTTGAAAATGTGGCACAGTTCAGATATTAGGGAACAACGATAACAGATCGAAACCTGATTCAGGAGGAAATTAAGAGGAGATTGAACTCGGGTAATGCTTGCTACCATTCAGCCAAGAACCTTTTGTCTTCTTGTCTGCTGCCCAAAAACATATAAATTAGAATATAGAAAACTATAATTTTGCCTGTGGTTCTGTATGGGTGTGAAACTTGGTCTCTAACATTAAGGGAAGAACACAGACTGCGGGTGTTTGAGAACAGGGTGCTGAGGAGAATATTTGGACGTAAGAGTGATGAAGTGACGGGAGATTGGAGAAAACTGCATAATGAGGAGCTTCATAGCTTGTACTCTTCTCGAGTATAATTAGAAAGATCAAGTCAAAGAGGATGAGATGGGCAGGACATGTAGCACGAATAAGGAGAAGATGAATGCATATAGTACATTGGTGGGAAAACCAGAAGGAAAAGGATCATTAAGAAGACCAAGGCATGGGTGTGCGGACAATCTAAAAATGGTTCTTGAGAAATAGGATGGGGTGGTATGGACTGGATTGATCTGGCTCAGAACAGGGTCCAGT